CACCACACCAGGGGTAAAATTTCATTAGTTAACTACAAGCGCTAACGCTATATTTCGACAACCCTAGGGCTAAAGGAAACCACTTTAGTAGAACAAAATTAATTAACTACTTCTGAATTGTTAGCTAAGTAGCTTGTCCTACTAGATTAGAAGGGATAAAAGAAGGGAGGAATTTATGTTTCTCTCATAATGGCCATTATTTTTTCAACTGCCCTTTAGTTGTTGAAAGTTGGGCTACCGTTTGAGTTGGTACACAATTTTTGTTACTTGCTACAAACTGAAAGGGAGAAACAAAAGTTTTCCCCTTTTTTCTCGTTCTTCTTTGGTGGAATAAGCTAATTAGTATTTCTAGAGTGTTCGTTAGTTTTGTTTTGCCAAAGTAGAACTTTAGTGTAGTTAATTAAGTAAAAATTCATCATTGGAGAAAAACTAGTTCAATTCTAGTCAGTATTATTGTGTAAGTAACGAGCTAACTATCTTCCAAACAACCTTGAGATTCTGCCTACTTTTTGCTTACATAGCCATGGGTAGGTAAATTAACTAGTACTAACTTTAAGGCTAAAAGTACTCAAATTAAGTCCAGCGATGAAACAGTAGCAGAGATAAATTGACCATTGACGAAAGCCTAACTCTCTCCCAAGGGGGCTATCAAGGAAGAAGCTAACAAACTTTGCTTTTAAGTCAACATACTTCATTTCGATACTGCGCTTAAGCACAGCTAGGTAGATAGAAGCTCTCCTGGAAAGCTCAAGTCAGTTGCGTAGGTTGGGTGTCTGGTCAGTATTCAACTGGGGCCTAATAATTGAATAATAATTGAACTTACCTTTTAACTTTGAACTAAAACCTTTAAACCTTTAAACCTTAAACCTTGTTAGCCTGACAATCATAGAAGTATACTAGATACTTTAACAGTGTTTTTGAGTTTCTAATCCCATTAGGGCGATTATAGTAATTATGCAGCCTCTAACGGGTCTTTCATAGTTGAGTGCAAACTCCTTAACTCTCCTTAAAATAATCACTAACTCCGGTTAGACCGCCATCTTGGGGAAATTTCTTGACTTAGGCAGTTTGAAAAATCATTGCTGTGGTTAGTAACCCTCTAGAATTAATAGCTTGTTTTTGCTTTAGCTGAACTATCAAGTAGATCCGAGTTAACATTTTTGCATACAAAGTAAGGTCTCAGTTCACAATAATAAAACCTAGGGGAAGAGAGAAACCACGGAATAGCGTTAACGCACGGTTCGGAAGGACTACTAGTAAAAATACTGGTAAAACCTTATCAAAACAGCTTTCGGATATCCATCTAAGCTGCGGTTATTTTAATTTATTAGCTCTATTGCCTACTTGACTCAAATGGTTATCTAAGTGATAAAGTAAATCCCTATGGGTTCTAGGAGCTAAGTTGACAGAATTTGAGTGTATTCGTACTCACATAAGCCAATATCGTATCGGCTCTACTAATGAGTTGCACTGGATTATAAATTTTCCATCGATCCCAGGTACTTACTGACTAGTAGAACGTGAAAGTAAATAAACTGGCTCTAATATTAGCATTATCAGAGATATGGCACACTCTGGTATGGTTCTGAATAATAGTGATAATAAAATAGTATCTTTCACTGGTGCAGACTATGTAAACTTTGCAGCTGAGCTCAAAAAGAAAAGCTTTCTATCTTTAGGATATTGCTGAATTAGACATTGAGGATAAAGTAGTAATGATACAAGCTTGCACCGCCGTCCCGAGTACCCTTCTAACAACTTGGGACGGCGAAGAAATAATTAACAACTCTGAGTATAAGCACCTTTCAACCTTCAAAAAGGGTCAAGTTGACGCAAAATGATGCTAAAAACCCTATATAAGAGAGACGGAATTTCAACCTTGTCTGGTTTCTTTCGCATGTCCCCGCAGGCTAATTATACCTTTATAACTTATACTGAAATACTTTTAACTCAACCTTCGTCATTGAACTTTGGCACAGCAAGTAAATACTCTTTAGGATACTAAAACTAAATTTGGAAACTGTGAAGGTCAGGCTTGTGTTAGGAGCCATTTGTCTTTCAATTTTTTTTTGCATTCGACTATTGGCTATACCTAGCAGCCTTTGTTCATCGTTGTAAACTCTTTAGCGAAGGTAGGATTGCTTATTGCCCCGTTACCGGGCAGAAAAAGATCGATGCTATGAATAGGCGTTCTGCCTTACTTTTTTTATTTCTCTTAGCTTACTGTGGGTAGAATATCGAAAGTTGAAGAAAGGGTTCCACCTGGAGGTGAACTATAGTCAAAATGTAAATTATTCTGCTCAGGTCGTGTCACCTCCTACAATGAAGCAGTTCAAGCCCAGAAGTGATCACCTAATCGCGACGTTGTGACTACGGTACCTTCTCGGGTTGGGTTGTACTTGGAGAATTACGTGAGGTATCGGAAATATTCGAATAGTCCTCGGACCGAAAGCTCTGCACTTAGAAATGGTAAAAAACAAGGTTGGCTGAAGTCCTGTGGCAGGTTTTAGCTTATCTGTGTTTTGCTGACCCTGACAGTTAAAGCTGTCTTTTAAATAGGCTGGTCCTGCTTAGACACGAGCCCATGAGACGAGACCTTGAGTGACGACTTTTTTTGTTACTTTGAAAACTGTTAGGCTACTAATCCGGCTGAAGTAGAAGTTTATGCCGTGTATACTGGAGATGCTTGTGAAAACTGTCTATCTTTACCGGCAGCCCTAGGGCCATTGGCGAAAATTAGCTAAGTTATGTACACACAGTCCACCTTTTAACCATTCGGTGCTCCTGAAGGTTCTCGGTTGTAAGAGTTGCATAATGAGTGGCGACAATAGCACTATGGAACCGTTAATACAATAGGACTAAGGTATAGCTAAATAACTGAACTTAAAAGCGAACAGTATGAATGTGTAAGAACGCTGTGGAATACGATTGGAATACGGTTGTATTTGAGCAGTACTCAAAAAATAGTGCTACTAACCAGTATATTATATACTTAAGAGCGCAGCTCCCCCAATCCAAAGTCTTTCAGCTTTATAAAATTATTTATTTTAGTGCTTTTGCCTAGAAGAAATGCAAAAACCTTTCAAATATTGAAAATATGCTATTTTTATCTTGGTGTAAGCACTGTTTACAAAGTAATTAAGGCGCCTAAAAATGATATATAAGAGTTACGAAATTAGTTGGGGATTCGAAAGGGACCATTATTGGGCATTGATTACAGCGATCTAGTCTAATGCAAGGGTCATGATTTAAAGTTAAGCTGTTAGGCTTCAGCTATGCAGGTCAACCTCGTAGTGGGAACACTTGACTTCATTGGGGGCCTTCGACTGTTAGCTCTACCTTGCATTTTTCGACCAGTAATGCACACATTTAATTATAGTGAAGGTTGTTCTTTGTCCCTAGGTTAATATCGTATAGTGAAGGTTGTTCTTTGTCCCTAGGTTAATATCGTAAAGCGCCCGAAAAAGATCGTACCTATGTCGAAAATGCGCGTTCACCCTTCGCGTTGGCCCTTGCGACTTCTGCGGGTTACGGCCTAAGGTTAACCAAGAGGTTTCATCCTAAGGTGGGCTCCAAGGTAGATACAATACTAACTGTCTAGGGTCATGTCACCCTTCTACTCTTCCTAGGGGTCGGCGGCGCAGTTTCAGTAAGTCTCTTTTTCGTTAATTTTTACTCTTAGCTGAATACGGCTAGTATCCGATTTAATACTTGAAAATACTTATGACGGTTCTAGCTCATTTATTATAAAACCAAAGAAGCAGGGTTATGGCACCTTCCTGAGGTCAGCTCTAGTCTGAGGGTTGTCTCAAACTTTGTAGAGCTGCAGGTGATTAACGCACGAAAAGAAGGAGCTGCTCTTAAAATTAGTAAAAACCAAAGGTTGGTTTGAGCTCTGTGGCAGGTTCTATCTTACCTGTGTCTTAGGAAGTACGTTATCGTTGGTAGCATATGTTGGACTTATTACTTGGCACCTTTGTGCTCACTAACTATACTCGTATGGCTCTAAAGACTAGTTTTTGTAGTATTTTGAGTATTTAAGCTCATAACTTTGATACTCAGGTGCTGATGCGTTGTATACTGGCATTGCCTTTTGAGGTTATTTATTCTCATACATAATTTAGGAAGAGATGTTAAACCTTTAGCGAAACATTGGGGAAACTTGCTAAGTTGATAACCTTCCATGTGAGTAGCAAAGTTGAAAGCAAACTTAATGACTGCTCTGGTAATGGGTGATGACAAATAACACCTATTCTGATCCGGAGTCATTAATACAATTAAACTAAAGTAATAAGCTAGGTAACCTTGAATTTAAGTAAAATTGTATAGGTGTAGTGGTAGTGTGTGACTCGTGCCACACGCTGCGCAATGACAAATAGTATTGTTTACCAGTATATAAAAAGATATAATCACACAAAATTTCGCAAGAACCGTAATCTTAGGATTCCTCCCTTCTGGTTGGGGGCGCTAGTTTGGGAGGCCTGGCTGGCAGTCGTCTCCAGGTTGCCTCGGGACTTGTGGCTAAGGCCATCTCTCCCGGCGGTGGTCTTTTGCCGTTTTTATACTACACTAGGCCGAATAGCGGGAGACCAGGCCCGATATTTTCCGTTTTTTCGGTCCTTTGGGTCAATTATTATAGCTTTCTAAAAAGCGTACATTGGTGGGCATTCGCGCCCCAACCCCTGCAGAAAAGGAGAATTCAGATTAAGCGGTTTAAGGTCTTAAGAAGACCGGCCGTAGTACGACAGCTATTATGCATTTCTGATACGACGACTTTGACTCTAAGACATTTACAACTTCATGTGCACACTTTGGAAATGTGGGTTTGCTGCTTGTAGGATGAAGGTTAATCTTTCTTACAGTTTAGCATTGCTGTTTACAAGAAAAAAAATTTAAAATTAAAGCCGAAAAGTCCAGCAGATGTTTTAAAGCGCTATTTTGTAGTTAAATTGGAAAATTGTTAAGTTACGTCACAAAAAATATGAATCGCTGCAGAGAATGTTTAATTCCCGTCAATATGTAGGTGTAGCAAACTCCATACCGAAAAGAAGCTGCTATTATATATATAATCGGGTCAGTTATAATGTATGCTCCCTTTTGTTGCTTCTACTTTAAGTGCCATGCAAGTAGATTGGAAGTCCCTCTTAGGATGATCACGGGCGCTGTTTATTGAAGACAAATGAAATTTTGTTCCTAAATCTGCAAGTAGATGCTATAAAAAATATGGTAAAAATTTGAATAGTTTATTAATTCTAAACTAATACAACAGATATAAAAGACCCAAACATTTTTGGAGGTCACTTTCTATGAGTCTTAATTTACCATTCTACTTGTTTGTTGTTAATTTATTTTCAATATTAGATTGTACTATACACTTTTTTGCATACCTATAGATAATCTAATTTAAATATAGATAACATATTTGTTATTTTAATATACTAAAGTCAAAGTAATTAGTATCATACTTGAGTTAACATATATAGGAATATAGAGTATATTTTTATATAACTATATATATAATACTGTCATATAGTTAACAATATATAAAATAGATTTATTTCTTTACCTTATTTATTTTTAACTTTTAACTTTATTTTATACTATTGCTACTAATGTATACTTATTTGTGGTACTCCACTTGTTTAGTATAATTTGCTTATGGGCAGGTACGCAAACCACGACTCTTCAAAAGGGGCTTTACCCCTTCTTTACCTCTCTTTTGTCCTTGAACAGGAATAAGTAATAAGCAGTAATGATGCGCTGCGTATATCCACTGCGAAATGTGACAGAAAAATGAAAGGAGTGATCAGTTTATTATTTATTTATTTATAAACGACAGTTCCTGGAGCTGGATCGAGTTAAAAAACTTCGAATACTCGAGCTCTCAAGAAATAGTAATCGCAGACTTATTGACATAGTGGTTTTTGTTAGGACTTGACACCTTAATAAATAATTTTCTGCCCCCTCGAGGTGGGAGTCCACTTTTGGGCGTGGTGGGAAGTCCAACAGTTTTCAACCAAAAAGGTGTCATTATTTTCTGACATAAACAAATAAAACTAGCGCTAATGCGGTCATGTGGACGGCGATAATGTACCTTCCCCCAGGGCTCGTAAATAAGTTCGCTCATCAGTAGGCGACTACTGTGCCTGACTAGCCTGTCGGCGGAAATTCGTTCTGTCGCACTTGAAGTGGCGACGCTATTGCAGTGGAGTCGTAGGTTCAAGAAGCAGACGCATATATCATTATTAGCTGGATGTAAGACATATACAATCCGTTTGTTTCGCAGAGAAAGCTTGCTCTTACCGCATAATGAAGGGTGAAGCGTCTTAGTTGCTGCCTTAACCTTCGCCATTGATAGTCCACGTGCGGCTGCCAGAAAAGTTTGTTGTCTATAATGACTCCGAAGTATTTCGCTTAAGAACACCATGGAATCTTTGCGCCATCAAAGGTTAAAAGGGTGCCAACAAAGGAATGCTCTTTTTAGTAATCAAAAGCGCTTTGCCCTTCATAGGATTTATAAAAACTTTCCAATTACGGGGCCAATCAGCAGGAGAATCAAGATAGCTCTTGGTTAATTGAAGTTAACACCACATCGACTAAAGTTGATTGAACTTAGCTAAAAATTGACCAAAATAAAGGTTCTCTTCTTCCAGTACAGTTTAAACAAAGCTTAGCTGGTGTTTTATTTTTAACGGACCTTTGGAAGGCATTTAGCTTGCTTTTGATCCGTACAGGTAGCGCCTTATGGGTTGTATATTATGGTGTCAGTTTAGCTTTGAATTGCGAGTCAGAGTTATACTGCTGGTGCAGGTACTCGCCCACTTACTAGGTAACCCATCGAGTTGTGCAAGTTATTCAAGCATTTTATTGGTAAGTATTGTTAGAGTTCATTTCCTTCCCCCTATGAATTAGGAATTAGTACTATTTAACATAGAACCACTATCTTAAGCCGTCATCCGAGGCTCGAAATCTGCTTGATTACCTAGGAGAATCCATAACTCCATCAGGGATTTTGTATTTGTCCTATTTTACAGGATAAGTAAGCACTCTTCTTCTTTGCCAAAATTACCAGTTTTATAAGAGCTTAGTAGCTTCCATAGAAAGGCGGGTGACTTCGACGATGTGTAAACGGCCGTATCACCGACCTAGAGGGCGATTTTTGTGTGCGAATTTGATGGAAGGGCACGTCGCTCATATAAAATGCAAATACAAGGGGCGATAGAAGGTAACCCCACGGGGCTCCGGCTGTTAAAGATCGTAGCGGCGACTGTGTTTCTCTCACGCACACACCGAATTCGCATTCAATTGAATATAACTTCAGCACGTTGTTAGGGCCTTGAGGAAAGGATAACAAGCGTAGTTTCCGCAGCAGGCCTTCCTGCCAAACTTGATTAATTTTCAACGTTAAGACAGCGCTTATTGCCTTCTTAAAGTTAAAAGCGCTAGTGGTTCATTCAGTTAAGCGGAGGAGCTGCTAGGCCATTGATTGCCCTTGTCGATATCCAAACCGACTCCGGCAAGGCGTCCCGTACGTCAACAACCTCTTTTAGAAGGCGCAGTAAAACGGTCTCACCCTCTTTGCCAACTGCTGACAGGAGACTGATGGGTGGGTACTTGCTAGTTGCTAATTCCGGTTTAAATGTCTTTAGCAGCATCACAACGGTCGCCCTCTTCCATCGTATCGGGAAGGCGCCAAGGACCATTGCAGATTTTACTAGGTATTGCAGATAATACATCCCTGTTAATAACAATTTCTTCAGCATCTCATTACTGATGGCATCGGGTCAGGCGCTTTTCGTTTGGGTAGTGCTTCGACAATCGCTTGAACCTCGCCAACATTAACTAGCTCAACTGGTTCGTGGACACCGGGAAGAAGGAAGCCCAGCTGTTGGAACGCTTCATGGGTAGGTAAGTGAGCAGCTGGTACGTTTTGGGTGGCAAAGAGATTAGTGAAGGCGTAGCTTTGTCTTCATCACTCTCGGCCACTATATTTCCTTCACGAAGGGGCGGTAGTGGTTCATGTCTCCGATTTTTTGTCTTTTCAACACAAATTTACAAAAGGAGGGGGAGCGGTCACTGTTGCCTGACCCATGCATATGGTGAAGCGTGCCCTCCAACTTATTGTTAAAACGGACCATTGAGCTTCTTTCTTATGTATTTGTGCAGTCGATTAAGCGCAAGTTTGTCTTCGGCGCTCTGCGATAACATAGCCACTCGGATAAGACGTCGACGTTGGCAGATAAATGTCTTTAGTTCGTTAGGCAGGCAGTCGGGGCGGTCGTTACCTCACGAGTTCAGTAGTGCGAGTCATGTTTAGTGCGCTTTAGAATAAGGCGACAGCATCATCCGGCAGGCCAGGTGTAGGCGGTAGTGATGGACACAGCGGGAAAGTGGTTTTTAAAAACCTGGGCCTATTTGTTCCAGTTGGTAAAAAGCGGGTGATAATCTTCGGTGTCCTCCTCGCGCCTAATTCGAGAATAACTGGAAGATGACAGCTCGTGGTACCCTTCAATTGCCGTTGTAAGACCTACACCTTCTAGTATGACGATACCTAGAACGTCCATTGCGCCTGCGGTCGCACATTGTGTTAGCTGCTGGGGGCCTAGTATGCACAGTCCGTTCTCAACAGCGTAGGCCTCAAGATTGTGGCCATTCAAATTATCGGCTCGGCTGTTACTTGAAGGGTACTTGTAATTGAGATCCCCGCACAAAACAGCAGAGGAGTCACTCTCAAAGATAACATTAAAATCGGAGGGCGGTAGTAACTTCCAAGGAGATTTGTAGACAGCGTTCTCAGACATGGGCCCCTTGTCGGCCCTACATAGAGAAATTCCCACTGCCTCGACATTTTGTAGAGCTGGCAGAGATATCGAGTGATGTTGAATGCACCGTTTTACCACTCGACCACGCCCCCGCCGCGTGCATCGATCCGGCCTTGAGGATACGTAACAAAGTTGCACAGGTTAAATGCGACGTTAGGAGGATGCATCCCATTGATGGCGCACACATCAATTCTTTCACGTTGCAACAGCTCCTGAAGCTCATGCTTTCTACTTTGAACACATTCGCATTCCAGAATAATAGAGAATTGTAGCGGCGCGTCTTTGGTTGAGAAACTGTCTTGCAAACAGACTCTAGTCCTATCACAATTTCAAGCATAGTGTATAAATTCGTCGTTAAAATTGCTAACAGCTGCCGTAAGGTAGGCCGTGGTTGTTGCTGTTGCTGATCAGTTTTTGAAGTAGAAGCGTGGCCAGGAGCTTATGAAATTAATGGAATAGTGGGCAAGTATTGATGAGGTTTTGTCCTCAAACGGGACGCGCAAGAGACTCCCGGAGTAACGGTGTTGTTTGTAATGAGCACCGACGGAGTGGACTTTGCGGGCTGACTGGCTGCCGTTCGCGGGTAGTATTTGCAGCTTTGATGATTAGCGGTGCGCTTCACCGCAATTTGCACAAGTAGCAGGACTATTTCGTGCTTTCTGCATAGGCTGTCAAGTGACCCTCACCGCAAAGCAAAAGCTTGCGGTGCGCCCAAAGCTCTGACAACGATGGTCTGGCCAACGCGCTCTTCCGAAGTCCTCCAATTGAATTTGAAGATGTCTTCAGTTCTAACATTTATCTCTCAATTCTGGGTGTATGTATTAAAACTGGTGGTAAATAACGCTTCTTACTTTCGCCATTGACGATGTCCTCCGTGTGCTTTCGCTCAACACGAAGGGGTGTGACACCCTGAGCGCGCAAATCCCCTTCAACGGTTGAAAGGTCGAGTTCACAGTAAATCCCACGGGGGACAAATTTAAAGGCTTTCACTCAGGTAGTTGACACGTAAACACTTGTGCTCGCAAGATCGCGAGATACCCACGCCGCTGTTTTGCAAAAGTTAAATAGTAAGGGCCAACTTTTGTTTTTCGCATAGAACAACGAGAGGAATCTTTCTTTTACGAAATCCCGTTTCATTCTAACATTCATTTTTCTTAGGAGCAGTACCAGAAGCACTACCCACCTCAACGTCTACTCTGTGTTTTAAAATTTTACAAGATTTTCAAGTCTGCGTAGTTTTCAGTACTCTCACTACTTTTATTTAAGCTATTATAAGTTATACTACCACCATAAATATTACTAAAATTTTTACCACTACTTAAATTATTATTAATACTGATAGTGTGGTCGCTCTCAGCTATATATTTAATAGAAACGCTATTATGAGAAGTATTAACATTAATACTACTACTACTATTAATACTAAAACCTACTTTACCGTTAAGAGCCTGGTTTTTGGTTGGCTCTCAATTCTCGCTTTCTTCTAATATTTCAAAAGTCTGTGGCTGACTAGATTTCGCAAAGCCGAGTAATCATTATTATTAGTTATCATACCAACAAGCTCCTTTCGTCTCTTAGATTTTAATTTGTTCTGAGTAGTTATTATGTGCTCATTGTTTAGCTTTGGTTGAGTCTAACTCTCTTCTGAGTTCTTCGTTGACAGCTAATAAGTTAGCAATCAAGGTTCGCAGCTCTTCTTCAGTAGAGGGACTCATTTTTAAAAGCAGATATAACGTAGATATATTAAGATAAATAAAGAGAAAAGAGGTTACAACGAAAAAACAATAATAGTAATAAATTAATATAATAATGTAAGCTTTAACAAGTCTCTCAACTGTAAGTAAAAAGTAGTCGAGGCACAGGCCACATCCGAAAAGGTAAAAAGATAGTGCGAGGACAAAAAAAACTTTCTTTTGGGGTCCAGTTCCAAATTATTTATTTTGTAGTTTTGACATACTACAGCCGTTACATCTGCTCTAAACTTAAACTGCTTAGTCTAAATTCCCTCAGTACGGAGAGGGTGGACGAGGGTAGTCTCTTGTAAGATAAAGACAGTGATGTCTTTGCGATTTAAGCGTTTAACACATTTTCCCCTTTTAAATTAATGTTATAATCAAGTTATAGATGTTCTAAAGACGTTTCCCTACTTAGTTTTCTAAGATAGGTACAAAAAATGTTTAGGTTGTTTATTATTAAAAAAAATGTTCGGGAGTATAGTTCAAGGCGTTAGTTATTAAATTTATGGGATGTTCTTCATATTGTGTAAAACATTTTATAGCCGTTTAAGGTAAAGCAAAAGAGGTTCAGTTTCACATTCATGATGTAATTGGGAATTCCGCAGAAACTAAGGAGCGCCTGTGAATATTCTAAGATTGTTTTGATGAATTTGAAGTCTGTATATGCGAAGTGGCGCAGTAAGGCTATGAAAAAGGTACGTAGTTAATAATAGGTTTGATAATAGCTTTATATATAAGGAGTCTATTTGCAAGCTCAAATGACTTCTTTTGCATATGAGAGTACAGAAGCAGAAGTTATATTTCTTAATTTTATTAACAAGAAAACCAATATGAGACGACTTCCAGTTAAAGTTAGAGTCAATAATAGCGCCAAGGTATTTTACTAAATCCACCAAGGAAGAGGTGCTTGCGATAGAGTTAGAGCTTAAATTTTTCCAATTTTTCTATTCTTGAGATGATCACAGCATGGCATTTGGCTGGGTTCCTCGCAATTTTCCACCTTGCAAACCAGTTTTCAAGTGTATAAAGAAGGACCTGCACATATTTAATAGCTAATGTAGTTGATTTCGAACCACAATATATGGCAGTGTCGTAAGCGTATAGAGCTAAAGAAGCTCTGTAGATAAGGGAGAGAATGTCGCATATATACAGGGAGTATAATGAGGATGATAGTAGGGACCCTAAAGAGCTCCAGCTTTAAGGACCCCTGAGGGTGGACAAGTGTTCTCTTCGTACTTCCAATGATCTACTGCAAAGAAATGAATATAGCACGCGCCTAAGATATTCTGGCGACTTGTATATAAATTAATTTATAAATAAGTCCTTCATGCCAGACTCTATCAAAATCTTTTCCAATATCTAAGGATATACCATAACTGTTGACTTCTTGTAATTAAAGGCTTTTGTATAGTGCTCTACGATCCTTAAAATGTGCTGTGTTGTGGAGTGTCCTTTTTGAAAGCCACATCAGAGTGGGGGGTATAAGATTTGTAGAATTTGCGAATTTTTTTTTAACTAGAAAGTACTATAGATCCAGCATTTTTGCCAACACTAAAGTAAACCAATTGGCCGATGATCTTTAGCATAGCTGCTTGTATGGTTACCTTTTAGTACAAATATAACGTCTGATTGTTTCCATCTTGTAAGAAAGTAACCCTAATGGAAAATAGAATTAATTGGTTTTGAAAGATACACAACAGCCACTGGAGGAAGATTTTTTAGCACCCGATTTGATATAACGTCCAGGCCCCTACTTTAATTAATTACAATTTGAACATCCTTTTCATTCGTAAAACATCTGAGAATTCATAGGTGACGCGACTTTGAGGAAGTAAGATAATATCCGGTTATGCACGAAATATTCATTTGTATTATTAAAATAGTGGAGGGCTTGTGCTGAGGGGACGAGCTTTCTGTGAATATATTGACCTTTTCCTTATTGGAATAAGCAATTTCTCCTTTGTCATTTAAAAGTTGTATATCAATCATTCTTGTTTGAGTTTTAAAAGATTTTTTGTCTTATTCCATATAGAATTATCGGACGAACTTAAAGATCTTAGCCAAGGGTTGCTATAAAAAGCATTTAATTCGCATTTCCGCATTACTCATTTTGTGAGAGGCTAACGTGTCCCATTGGACCCTTCTTCCTATAAATTCTCTTTTTAATCTTCTACATTTATTAATAAGTTCTTTAAGGTGAGAGGGAAGGATAAAATTTAAAGTTATATAGAATTTTCTGTGCTGGTGTTGTTTTCACTGAGTAATTTAATTTGTTTTCAAAAGAAGAGACAGCAGCATCAGCTTCAGAGGAACAGAAGGAATCGGATAGAGTGGTAAGTTAATCCACTGTGTTTCTAAAAAGATTCCAATTGGCTGCCTCTTTGGCTCCTCTCTGTGTTGGCCTGACTTAAATCTCCAACCAGCAATAACACCCAAGTTAAGCAAAAAGAATTCACAATCTTTCAAAAAAACTAATAATCACTTTTATGATTAACCCTTTGGTCTTATGTAAGCTTCTGTATAACTTAGTAATTATATATAACGTAAATTACATTTTGTAAAAGGTTAATGACAACTTTGAAAGAGGTAAGTTTTTATGGCAAGAGTTTTTAAAAAGATAATCTAAAAACGCATGTAAAATGGCAATAATAGCCCAATATGGGTAGATAACAATTTTTTTAGACAAACAATGCAGCATATCGACTACTTTCAGTTATGCTCATAAGCCTTATACCCATCTCATAAGCTCAACTGAACAGTGATCCACATAACAAACAAGATTATTTGTTTGACATAAGAAATGTCCTTCCTTTAGAATCAAATAGGCTAATGAATTTAAAATATACAGAATACACTTGAAGCCCCGGAAGATGTCCAATGCGATATATTCCTATAATTAACAGCAAGCTAAGCTAAGCATACTAACTCTTAAGCCCACAGAGGCTTTTATATTATAAAAAATAAATGTGGAAACTTTACACAAAATATTTAATATGTTTTAAAGAGCATTCATGTGATGGTCTTTAAAATTATAATAGGTCAAATGATTTACGAGTATATTTGTAAGCTGTTATGATAGATGTTTAAGCTAACTTTTCTTGGGAGCTCCCTTTGAAAAAAGTTTTATCAATGCAAAGATACACTAAAAGGTTTTGGTTTATTTTTATTTAAATACACAAAATTTTTAAAAAAAGGCTACTGAAGCTTCAATGGAGAACTAGATACAAAGGCACCACCACCACTAGCTATAAAATTGAAGTGTAACTTCTTTGAGGTTGATTTATAAGGTGTTACTCCTAACTGTTTAGAGCTTAGATAAAGTTTCCACTTCCAAAGGGTTATCAACTTACATGGGCAAACTTTTTATAACGGTGTACTAATTATAAGTTAAATAGAAAAGCTTCTTTTTCTTTATTATATACTCTGTAAAAAATACTGCGAAGGAGCTACAAGCATTGCAAAATATATAAATTTAAGAACTTTAATTTCACAAAATGGGGATGCCATGAATACAAAAACTGAAAGTAAGTGTACCAGATGGGCGAGTGGCCGAGTGGTCTAAGGCGCTAGATTTAGGCTCTAGTCTGTAAGGGCGTGGGTTCGAATCCCACCTCGCTCAGGGTTTTTACATACCTCCCCCCTTGAGGCGGTTTAGTCATTCCTCTGCGGTTTCCTGGTTTTTTTTCCACCTGAATTTCTCTTGACTGTCAACTACTTATGCATTCACTTTTCAAGACAGTTATAGCCTCGACTTTTTATAGATTTACTTCACTTCGAGATTTCTTTTTTTTATTAAAAAGATAAAGCACAAGTGTCACCATTTTTTTATTTTAATACAACTACGCTTTTCCTGTAAGTTACTTGACATTGAACTTTATCTTTTTAAATTCTTCTATCAAGTATAATTCAATAGCAATTATTTTTCTATTAAAAATTTTTGGTTAGACCATACCTGTACACTAAATTTTTCTTAAGCGAATCACGTAACTTTGGACTTTAAATTTAATATCAAATATATAGGAGTCCGAGGTCTTATTACAAAAAAAATGCAAATTATAAACTCCTTTTAAAAGACGCCTTCATATAAGAGAACATTTATATGGTTTTAAACAAATCCCACTTTAGAAAAGTACACTCTACTATACATGCTAAAAGCAAAATCTTGCTATAAGTTTCTATTCTTGCAAACTTAAATCGAATATAGAATTTATACTTTTACAAAAAGATTCCAAGGTGTGAAAACATAATTTCTCGGCTATCCAACGAAGACCTTATTTCTTGCTTTTTCATTATTTTTTTACTAAATACAACTGATACTCTAAATGTAGCTTAAATTCTGAAGCTCCCCCCTTTATAGGTACAACTAGCACACCTTCATAAAAAGTTTTCTATATAGATAAAGGGTAGTCTTTTAGCTAATTTAGAGTTGAAGACAGCAAAATAGCGTAGATTATTATAAGCGTGTTTTATAAATAAGAGAATAAATAACTATTCAAAGATTTAAATATATAAAGAAAGCAAAACGACCCTGCCTAACTCCAAATACAGCCGTGCAAAAAGTTTCTTTAAAAACAAACAATAAACGCAGATGGGTTTAAATACCAATATAATGGTGCTTTCTTCTAAATTAAAACCCACTAAACCTTATTCTTTAAAAAAAATTACATTAAGCTCTCCTTATTTTTAAATAGCGAAAGGTCAATTAATAAAATAAGGCCAAAAGTTTTTTATTAAAAATAACAATTTAAAGCTGCCCGCAATTTTCTATAGCAATCTTTTTTGAAGTCTTTCCACTCTGACTTCCGTACGACTCTATCACCTTCACTACGTCCATCCCTATTAACGTAAAAGTGAATAATGCTACAAAATCTACGATTTGCTTTAAACAAAGGAAAAGCGTTTATTGTCTTCCTACTATAATGCTAGTAGTCGGAGAATAAACAAAAACAATAAGGCAAAAAAAAGCTAGAAAATCCAACAATGACGATAAGAAAACAATAGCGGAAACAGAGTTGAAGAACAGTCTTACAAACATATAAACGCAGACCCCTATACAGAAGCTATACAAACTTCATAACAGAACTTATACTTCTATAAATCTAACTGAAACAATCCCAAAGAAATTATAAGTTGAGAAACTCAAGAAAATTTTAAACTCAACATTAATAATTTGCAAGCGTACCTAATAAAAGTTGAGTACAAACGTATATAGCAAAAAAGCTAAAGATTTTACACGTTACAACTCAAAAAAAAATAAGAAAACCAAAGAAACCTTCAGTGACTTCACCAAAGACAACATGCTTTCCATTCAAGTGAGAACACGAAGAAGTGCAAATGAAAAATTGGGATCCGTTGGTGTTCGGGCCGCAATTAGCCATAGAGAGAGCGCCTAACCAATAGGAAGTTATTTATTCATATAGTAAAGAACAAGTATGAACTATAGCGACTACAGTACCGACTTTGTGCGGAATCTTAAAGCTTTCATCTTCAAACTTGCTGCCATATATGGACTTTCCGCCAGTCCCGTTGTGGTTGGTAAAGTCTCCGCCTGAAATTCATATTTTTTTCATAAGTATAGCTTTTAAGGCATAAAAGAAGGCAAAAAGAGACCTTGACACATAAAGTTTGGAATAACTCTGTGAAACGTCGAGCCTTTATAGCCGTAGCCATTCTGGCCAGTGCAGAGTTGAAGAAAGTTTTCAGTCGTTTTAGGACAAACATCCTTTTTCAACTAGAAAAAAATGGTAATAAAGGTAAACTGAAAGTTAATACTATCTCTACCGTAAATATAATTCTGCCAAGCGGAGCGTTGTCGGCAGTCATATCAAAGAAGACCTTTGGATTAGCCATGACTTCTTAAATAAATAAGTTAACATCAAAAAACGATATTTACTAGTTAAGTATAGATATAACTTTCACAAGATTAAGTAAAATGATAATCCCAGAGTAGTAAAAGCGTGCCAAGAGAACACAGAAGAGAGACAAACCGGAGGCTTCAAGGAACTAAAAAATAGTGGAAAGGCGGGAAGCTCCAAGCTTTTTATAGCTGAGAAATTAAGCCGATCTAAAGTCACGTGGGCGTTAGTAAGTAACCCCAAGTGATAAAATCCTGAACCTCTAATAATATTCTCGAACATTTTTTTAAAAATAGAAAGGTTTGGAACAAAAGACAACTGTATAATTTTGTTTTGGTGACTATCTGTCAAATTGGGTCATAAAATGATCCGAGGTGCTGCAACAAGCAAGGATATGCGCAAAATAATTAGTTCAATACCGTTCGTAAGGTTGCTGAAGCTTTAAATATTGCAAAATCTACTGATTTTAACGTCCTAAAGCGCTATCGAGAAAATGGAGGCTGCTGTCAAAGGTAAAATTTCAGGCTGCCCTAAGCTGGTTTCATCAAGAAATCAATGAACTCATATAAATTTGTGTAAAAAAGGGCGACGTAATACGTTACTAGACATCACGTCACAGTGAAACGAAGAGCCGGGATTAAAACTATACGTGAATATTGTAAACCATAAATAAACAAAGCTGGACTAAAATTTTATAAGGTAATGGCATATATATTGTGTACATTACAGGAAAGCTTAGGAAAAACCCTTCCCGCCAAAAAAAATAAAAGAAAAATAGATATGAATAGGCGTATTTTAAACTAATATTATTTCAGTAACTAATCAAAATTCGATGTTTGTGTGGGGGGTTCTGGCTTCTGGGAGACAAGTTGTCAGGTCAAAAAAATAAACTTTTCATGCAGACTGCAATAAACGCACCGGGAAATCCCCTACAGGATTGATGATTTGGGGATGTATTTTAACAAAAGGTTTAAACAACTTGGCGTTTGTCAACGGTACTGTAAGCGCAGAGAACTACCAGAAAATATTAACTAGTCTTCTTCCGAGAATCAACAAGCTGTATTTTGAAAAAAATTGAGTTTTTGCGACAAGGAGCCTGTTGTCCTACAGCTAAGCCAACAGAAATAATGGATTTGAGTTTCCCAGCCTTTAATATTTCTGAAACACTAGCATAAGACAAAGCAGCAATTACAAAATAACCCTAAGAGAACTAACAAGAACAACGCTGCTGCTTTAAATCTCTCAAAAAATTAAGAATAATCCCGGATATTCCAACCCTCATTTTGGAAAAAAAAAAGTTCAAAAAAAAAAAACTTTATGTAAGAAACACCCGTAAAATAAAGTTAGTCTTATCGCCAGTCTTACTACATTCTCTTCCTTCTCTCTTTGCTTTTGTCAAGTGCAGTTCCATATCAGCAGTTTCTTATTTAAAGTCAAAACTGGTGGACTTGTGGACTAAGTTTACTCTTGAGTTTTGTAAATCTTTAGCAGCGACCACGCCTGCCAGAATGGCAACGGTTTTTATTCAAAAGGAAATGTTAACACCATACTAAACTGCACATTATCGATTTTGTCCCAAAATATAGTTGTCAACGATTTTTCATGTTTCTTGTAATTACTTTGTAGGGTCTGATTACCGACCTCTGTTATATATCAGGCATAGTTCAGTAGTAAAACTTCCATTTTCTTATTAAACTTATTTTATAAACCTTACTGTTATAAATAATTACACAATATATTAAATGGCTTGTTTCCACAATTAGTTGTAGGCTCGTGGAGTGTTCCACGGCTAAGGTTACCCTCATATATGGGCCAAAATAAGTTCGTATCATATCCTTTAATTTATTAAATTTAATATTGATATTAATGAAAAACTATTAATATATACTATAACTATTTTGCAATTGTTTATTCTGCTGAACGTTGGGTAACTTGAAGACAGTACTTAGTCTTTACGGAAATGTAAAGAGGGGGAATGTGAATAAGTATCCGGCCTCCTAGCCCCTTTACTTTAAGCACGCAATTGAGTCAGTGATCTGTAAAAGAAATTTTTTCTCACTGTTATAACGCTTACAATTATAGTGTCTTATATTTAAGTTATATTTCTTTAACAAAAATAATTATAACTTTTATTTTAATATGACTTCAGGTATAAATTTTTTTCACACTATTATAAAACTTACAATTGTAAGAAAGTCTTTATTTAAATGATATTTTTTAAACATAAGTTATTGAATTATTATTTTTATACGGCCTTAGGTTCCATACTTGCAGCTATAATTACGCCTATTTTATATCATTAACTTTGTTTTAACTTGTAAAGATTGCGTTAATTATTAAAAACTCCACTATGTTCACTTATTATATGTTTGGAGTTATTACTCAGTGTGTTTAAAAGCTACATAAACATTTTAATAGTTTCCGAAAGAGAACTTTTACTCCTTATAGTTGACGTCAATCCCTACGCATGGAGTAACAGTAAACTTTTAGAAAAAGTAATCTTTTTTTTTTATCAAGCGCAAAATAGCTAGAATCGTTATAGAATAAATTTTTAGTGTTAATCAAGATTTTTGGCTGCTTTATACCAAAAAAAAGTAAATTAAAAATAATTATACGATTTGAATTTGCTTAAAAAACTATATTATTATTCCTTTCATGTTTTAGATTAGTCTTGAAAAGTTTTTAGACACCATTCTTGTGTTTATTAACTCGTATCTCTTACTTTCTCACGGTAATCTTCTCGCTGTGGTGGCAAGTCACAATCAATCCTGGTTTCTCATTTTTATATTCTTGTTTTATTTGGTATATTAAAATATATATTTTTTGTTAACCATTTTTTTATTAAGTTTTTATTTACTCTTTTTACACAATTGCTATTTTTTAGTTTAAATAAAATTTATACGCTTTTTAATTGTTATTATTAGCGGGCTCGCTTTAATACTAAATTCTCTAATTTAGTTATTTTCAAAAAATTTTGTTATGCATTGCGAAAAACACTTTTACTTTTTTTTTCATTTAAATTTGTTCCTTGAAATATTTTTTATATTTAAATTTTAATATTTTCCTTTAATTTTAGTTTTATGTTTAAAACATATTTTTAAACACTTTATTGAAATTTTTTCTTGCCTTCATTTATTTTGCATTTCGCTATTTTTTAGCTTTAGTTTTGTTTTTTTAATGTTTACTAGAGTTTTTATCAAAATTTTGTTATCAGTTTTCTTTATACATTTATTTTTATTATTTTTACTTAAAAGCTGTTTAAAAAAAAAATCAACTCTATTTCCTTATTTTTCAAACTCTCTTAATCTCTAAGTTTTCTTACTTTTTAGCTTGATTTCAACTCTATACTCAATTAAAAATAGTTACTTTTATCAAAAAATTTATATTTATTATTAAGATTTTATAATACTTTTGATTGTTTCAACTTTTAATAACTTTATTTTATTCTATTATTACTTTTTATTATTGTCACTTTCGTTTATTTTTGAATTTCAGTTTTATAATCTTCACGATATAAATATATCTTCTTACTAAATGGTTTACTTAGTTGATAAAGTTATAGTAATTTTAATTTATTATTAAATTTTAATTTTAGCACTATACTTTTTCCTGAAGGGAGTAACGCTGCAGATTCACTTCTCCTATTTAAAGGTTTATATTTTAAAAAATAAATTTGTGTTCATTGTAATAAATGTTACAAGTATAATAAACTTTTTATAATATAATAAAAAAAATAAAAAATTATTATCTGTATCTTTTTATGCAGTGAAGCACCATATAACTGATTTAAGAGTGGAGGTTTGTATACTTTTTATAATTGAAATAATAATATTTTAATATTATTAATAGAATAATTAATAGAATTATTGTTATAAACTTATAAAAATATAATAATAAGAGTAATAATTAATAATATTATATAATAAACGTAATATAATAACGTTAGAGAGTTCGCAGTACGAAGTTTTTGCACTCGCAAATGCTCAGCTCGTGAAAAATATTAAGTCTTTTCTTCTTAAAGAAAGTAAACTCAATAGAAAAAAATATTAGTTTTTATGAAAGTAGTAAAGTTGTAGCTAATTTATTTTTTTTAATAAAAATTCTAAATGTGTTTATTTTAATGTAATTTAAAATTTTTTTATCGGGTTTTTGCATATTTAATTTAAAATTTAAAGGTTTTATTATAATTTTAAATAATTGTTAGACTTTTATTTTACTATTTTACTTTTTACTATTATTTAATATTACTGTTATTTAGTTTTGTGGCATAAAATATTTCTTCCTATAGAATAATTATTTTTAGCAAAAAAATTATGGAAGCTCTCAAGAGAAATGCTAATAATGATAGTAATAATAATAAAATTAGAAAACGTAATGCTCATGGGCATGTCCAACACTGCCAAATTTATTTGGTAGAATTTTTTTCAAATGAGTACCAGAAGTTAAAATAATTTTTTTCGCGGTAGAAAACTTTTTAGTTTGCTAAAAAAAAGAATAATGAAAAGCGTGAAGAACCGCCCAACAGTGAATTGAGCAGCCGATTCACGTGCTGTTGGACAAAACACGTGTTTACTTTTTTTAGATTCATAGAAGTTATGGATTATTTTTATTTGGCGAATAATAAATTTAATACAATGTTTTTACTCTTTATTATATTGTAGAAATTATTATTTTTATTTATTATTAATGATAATATATAATTATTATATACCCTTGATAAATTTTATAAAAATTTATAAAAAATAGAATTTAGTTAAGATTAAATATATAATATTATTGTTTTATAAATATTTAACGTTATATTAATAAAACTGATAGAAAATTCTGTTTTTTAAATTTATAAAAATTTCGAAAAAATCACTTTTCTAAAAGATTGCTTTTTCTATATATAATTAAGACCCTTTAAACACCGTATATAGAGGGCGGGCAAGAAACTTGCTCTCGAGTTTCATTTTTTTGTTTTATCGTGCATATCCAAGACTTTGCTTTGACTGTAGTAAGTAAGTCCTTTGGATTTATAGTTGAATTCATTGGCTACTGCATAGGTCGGTTACTTAAAGGATAGGTCGCACGGGGGTTATTTTGAGTACACATCTTCAAGTTCCCTCATAGGGCCTGCGTGCCTTTGATTGTTAGCAAAATCTTGGTGCCTTCGTAAAGTTTAGTACATTCATTAACGGAATTTGAGATTAATGTGTCGTCTTACGTTTCGTTTTCGTAGAAGCGTCCGCAAAGATCGGACCCATTCTAGACCCGAGTGGTTCATTAGTTTTTTTTAAAGTTATTAATAAATCGTAAACTCTTTTTCTATTACTATTGTTGAAACATGACTGTTATTATTGAATACTCGAGTTCATTTTACTATTATTATATTAACCTCGGTTTTATTAATAATATTATTTGAGAAAGTATAATATTTATATTTGAATGTAAATTTTTATAATAATATATAAATGTGGTGATTTATAGGCATAATTTATTTGTTTTTTGCTTATTTTAAGTAAAAAATAATTAATATTGATATATATATATTATTATTTTACAGCGAAGGCGGATAACTTTAATGCAAAACATTCATTACTCGCAGCCGCCTTAGGAAAATCGCTTTGTTGTATTGCTTTTCTGTAATAAAATAATAATATTTATTATAACCATTATCATCGTTTCTTACAGATATTCATCGCTTTAGAAATAACGAAAAGTTTCAAGAACTTCTAAGCAGAATACTCGTACTTTCCAGTCTATATTCTATATATAATACTTTATATTCGAAAAATTCACTAATAATAAAGCTTCTTACCGTCTCTGAAGATCATTCAGTTCAGTATTTATCTATAATGAATTCTATTTATGCCGCTGAAAAGTTGGTATTTTTTTTTTCTTTATTCTTATTATTGTTGTTATTATTGTTGTGTAGAAAATTCCCATCGACTGCTGTGTGATTTCTGAAAACGACTCTGGTTTTCTGCAACAGGCTTCCACCTTGACAAAAGGTTCAGAGATAAATTTATTATATAACAAGAATAAGATTATACACATGTGATCTAGGGCTCTACTACAAAGTTGACTTGAATGGAAGTAAATATTTACTTCAGTATTTATTGGTAATCCTCTGCCTCATTTTTATGACAAATACTACTACTACTACTACTACTATTAATAATAATAATAATAATAATAATAATAATAATAATAATAATAATAATAATAATAATAATAATAATAATAATAATAATAATAATAATAATAATAATAATTTTGCTCATGGCCAGCGCGCTTGGCACTTGCAACGGCAACGAAATAAAATAAACGAATCAAAAATTTTATTGAAACCACTTAAACACTCATGACCCCCCGTTTAATTTCGTAATGACAACAAATTTGCAATTTTATTGGCCTTTTTAGTATGCATCTTTTAATCACGTAAACAAACAGTAGTGATTGGATATTATAAACTGTTAGCGCTTTGAAAAATTAGCTTCTTCTAATTAACTGATTTTCTTTTTTGTATCTACAAAATTATATAAATATGATTGGCTATTGTAAATTTCATTAAACTATTAAAAAAATTATAAGCTGATCATTGGCCTAACCTTTTTTACGGCGACCATATTCTCCAATAGTAAAACGTTTGAGCTCCTATAGTCAAACTTTATAAATAGAATTAACAATAAATATAACAAAAGTAACTCACTTTATAATAATTGACCAATTACAGCTAACTTTTGCATCTAACTTTCCTTTAAAAGAAATCTTTCATAATTTCTATTATATATGAGCTTTAGTGTTTTTTTATTGGCTCAAAGGCACGTGCAATCGAGTGTAATATAAAAAACTATCTTATAACAAATTTTATGAAAAGTGTACAATATTTTGAATGACTCTCCAAATTATCTTTTTATGCTTTTTATATACTCGACTTTGATAGTTCTTATATCATTAATAAAGTAATTCAAAAACTTTTTATATAAAGAAAATTTATGTTTTTTCATAATTTATATATTATATATATTGTTATATCTGTTTTTTTGAAGTTCATAATTAAACTTTAACGCTTTATCGTTGCAATGAAACTTTTTGCCAAACAATAAAATTTTTAATTTCTTACTTTTTGTTGGCTAACTAAACTATTTATTGGCACGATTGGTCATTGCAGACTATTTTTCTTCCGTCTGTTGAGTTGCGAAAGGATTTACGACTGCCTATACAGAAAGAAGTTGATTTCCGGTTTATTTTAGTTTTTTAACACTTTTTAAAATAATTTAAAAAAAAAAAAATTATTTTTTTATTAATAATTTAAGTGCTTCTTGTTTTTGCCATAATCAAGTGATCTCGTTGGGCTTCGTTTGTTCGGTTTGTCTTTCCGGTATTTATTTATTTATTTTTTTTAAGTTTTATAATTTTTTTTTGCTTTTATTCAGTTTATTGTGGGGATGTTCCGATTTGCTCTACTTGCCAGTAATTTCTTATACGTTTCCTTTTTTCTTTAAAAGAATACTGCTTTATACAACTTAATATAACTTTTTTTATACATCATGTCAAAATTTGTAGTGATTAATATTATCAGGTCCCGGTTTAGGCCTTGGAACTCTGAATAACTGAGATTTTGAGTTTTCTTTGACTTAAATAACTTATAATAAAACTTTTTATTTATGTTATTTTTTACGGCATTTACATAAGTATGTTATTTTACTTTATACTTCTCTTTTCACTTAGTGGAGTAGCTATTTTTCTTTGTGCTTTATGAAATTTACAAGTTTTTTTCTACTGATCTTTTTACTCGTTTATTTGTGTAGTGACTACTTTTTTTAATGGTTAGAATTAAGCTTTTATTATACATATAAAATTTATTAAAACTTTTTTGGAACCAGGCTTTTCAAATTATACGACTGATCCTTAAATTATATAACGCTTTCGTAAGTGATATTTACATTTTGCCAAAAGTTCCTTTGCTTTTTGGAAATAAAAGTTTGCCTTTTGGTAGACATTGTTTATATTCCTCAAGTTTTTACTAGTTTTATTCTCTTGCTTTCGTGATGAAGCCATTAAATCAAATAGATAGTAGAATTGTTTAATTTATCAAACGCCGAAGATCTGACTATTTTAAAGTGAAGAGTTGCCCAGATAAAACTTTTAATATTCTGTAATTGTATAATGCAGTATGGTAAAAATTTTGACTTACTAAACTATAATATTAAATTAGACTTAAGTTAGAAAGACAACAAACAAAGCCAAAGCAACCTATAACTCTGATTTCTATAAGTATATCTTCTACACTTTAAAAAATTGTATTTACATTAAGTATAACCGTATTAGTTTAGTCCAAATAACTATGTAAGGTTTGCTTCTCTTTCATACTACGTATGACCTTCAACGCATGAGTACGAAACTGAAGTAAACCTTTTAAATTGTGGGCTTCTTTATTACAAACAATTATATTTGACTTTATATGCTAAATAAATATTGTATACAAGACTAATTATAAAAACTATGGTCGACGCATGTTTCGCAATAAAGGATAACCAAGAAAAAATGGCAAATTGCGCTACAAATTTCTTGTTATGAGATAAACCATGTTATTTATTTATTTTTTAGCAGAGTAGTAAACAAATATTGAGCACAAACTTATTTTGGTTCCAAGTTTACAAAAGGACCATCTGTTTGCAGAAAGACTTGACTGGTAGGATTCTTTTAAGTATGCTTCCCAACGAATTTAAAGCGAATAATTAAATAAGAGTGAATAACAGAAACACAAAAAAAATGTTTTACTAAAAAGGAAGAACTTAAAGCTATGATGTAATTTGGTCTAATTGACTTGGCTCAAAGTTTGCAAACGGTCCACCCGAATACTGATTAAGATATATAAACATTATAAAACTGCTATCCTGCTGTGAGAAGTTCTATATTATAGTGCTCTCTTAATAAAAATTAATTGTAACTTTTCTCAGACTTTCTTAGTTTCTCTGTGTTTTGTGGAAAAGTTAGAAGAGCGGAAGATAAATCGGTGTTAGGCAGCATCTTTGTGTCTGGCTTTGTAGTTTTTAAAAGCTTAGCATGTAATATTAAAAGAGTCTGAACTTTATTAATAGATTTTAAAATAGCTTTAAATAATTTCATATCTATAAAATGATCAAGTTATATCTATAATATTTCACTAAAGACATCCAGCCCTTTAAAATTCCAACTTTAATTTACCTCGGTTAAAAATGTGTGTAACGAATTTAAGTTTCCGTAGATCTAAGAGCTGGTCCAATTGATATTGTTTTGAAACAAAATGGTTATACTGACTACTCAGGTTTAATATGGCCTTCCAACCACCCTTAACTAGCTTTAGACTTATTAACCAACTTTTGCCAAGCCTCATTTACGATTAGTTAATCAAAATAAAGTCTCTTAACTGAAATCTTTCGGTTGTGACAACATTTTATTTTAATATCTTTTTTTTTCACAACCCCATCAAGTAACGACTACTCCGGAAACTTTACTTAAACTATAAAACCTAGGAAACCACCACTTCCTCTATGCGAAACATGAAAAAGCGCCACTTTTCTTCTTAGAACACCACCCTCGCTTGGTCGCGTAGCTTTTAATAAGCCTCAGCCCCTGCTAGCTAGTAAACTTTTTAAACCTAATCCAGTGGTGTTACCTAAAAATAGTAGGCCTCACGCCGAATGTGGTAGGGGTCTTAATACAAAGAAATAATAAGCCAACTGAACACAGTTTTATTAAAAGTTTGTTTAAAAGTAGCACACCAAGCAAAGTGAAGATGCAATACTAATTGATTTCTATCTTTTTATGCTGGGGCTTGATTTCATTCTTAACAGCAGTAACCCTCAGCACGCCATCCTCATAAGAAGCGGAGATGTCTTCAGGCTTAACAGATTTAGGCAGAGAAAAACAGCGCCGATACGAGCCACAGTATCTTTCTCTTCTGTGCCAAACAACTTTCCCTTTTTCCTCCTTTTTCTCCTCTTCTTTCTTGGAGGTAGCAGAGATTGTCAAACAATTATCTTTCACGTCAATAGATATATCATCCTTTTTGAATCCTGGAATATTCATTATCAGCTTAATAGCGTCATCGGTTTCCCTTATATCGGTTAACGGAGCCCCCTCACGTTCGTCCTGAAGGATAAAGCGAGAAGGAAAGAAACCATCACGGGAAATAAGTTGGTCACCAAGAAGGCCAGGAAACAGAGTCATTGCGCTAAGACCAGCAGAGTTAACAGCGGGCACCTCGCGCTCAATCGACCCACTTATATATTATCTACTTTTATTCCAGAATTTTACTTTGTAAAACTAGCCAATTAATGTGTTAAACGGATGCACTTTATAAATAAATTGTCCAATAAGAACTTTTTAAGAATCGGGGTTATGCATGCAATTATCGGGAAAATTATCTTAGCTTGCCTTTCTTTTCCTGGTCTGGCCATTTTTAGAGTAGAATTATGATTTATAAAACTTAAAATAAAATTATTTAAATAAAAAAGATTTTTATTTAGGTTATAACTACTTTTTTAAGCTCTTACCTTTACTATTTTATATGCTAAATTGTGTTTTTAAATATAAATTGTGGAATAACTTTTGGTGTAAATTTTAGTTTTTCTTACTTTTAAACTGTAAACAATTTGTTTAGCTTTATAAGTGATAATTTACTTAAACAGCAATGGAAAAAACGCTTGAATTTTACTTTATCGGTTACTTTTTTGGTTTATCTAATATTATCTCTTTTTCCAGACGAATAGATGTTTTTTATTTAACGTAAATTTTAAGAATTATTTTATTGAAAAATTTACAAATTTGTAAAGCATCCGTCTTTATTTTTTAATATTTTTTAAAGCTTTTTAAGCTTATTGTTTTCTATAGGCGGTTTTAATGTTAATCTATAGAAAAGAATGTTTTATTACTAGATGACTGGAAACAATAGTTAATTAAAGATTGTAATAAGAATGCAGGTTGAAGTGCTTTGGTTGTAGAAAACTACTTTTATAAACTTTTTGTTGTGGTTACACCCATCTTTTAAAACTTAGCTTCATCTTATGTAGCATTTCATATAAAACTATACAGACCAATTTATATCAATTTTAATTTAGCATCCTCTCGCTATACCTGCAGCAAATTAAAAGGCTTTGATTTTTTATGTAAAAATGTAGTGCATTCTCGGTAACACGGCTTGGAAAACTTAAATTAGGTTTCTCATGTTAAAAAAGGCTATATACAAAGCTGTGTATTGCAATTCTAGCTTCACGCTTTTAGGTAGTACGTATACTATTGGTGTTATCGGCTGCAGACGCTTTTTAAATTAAAAGTCGTCAATGTTGTAAAAGAGAGGTTAATTTTTGTCTAACTATTCATATATAAGGAAACATTAACTTAAAAGTTAGGTAAACGAAACCATTTTCATATACGTAAGAAGTAACTATTAAACCCCACTCATTAATGATTGAGGGGAAGAAGATTACAGCGTATTTCACTTTACAGATTGCAAATACCTTCTTCCTTCTTTCCTTTTAAATAGTAATAGAAGCACCCTTGGGTTTAAGAGGCAGATGACTTTAGAAAGTTAACGTATGTCAGGTTCACAAGGCGCTTAAAAACGAAATTTCAAAATAAATATTATAAAAAGTATAAGCCAAGATAAAGTATACAATCAAAGAAGATTTTTATTTGCGTTAAAAAAGGGGTAAGGAATGACTTCTGCGTTTCGAGACCTTGAAATAATAAGTTATGTGCTGCACTTTGAATTGGTGGCCATCGAAAAAGGTACATGACTACTTGACGGAGGTCATATTTTACTTTAAGTTGAGCGCTCTTCTTGCATAGTTTTAAAGCTGTCAAAACTTGGATGAGTTATCTCAGTTAATCCACTATAGAAAAATAAATCGTCAGATTAGCATCTCATTCAAACTATCCAAAGTTCGTTTTAGGATTGATATAATTATGTAAGATTGCTAATTTGTATAGCCATTGTCTGCAAAAATTAAATTTTTTTTTTTATTGAATAGAATGGCAAAAAAGTAACAAAAAAATTGATAACATTATTGCTGCTAATAATTCTTTAAAAATTAAAAATATTTCATTTTAAAGCCACTAGCTTTAAATATAGCTAAATTGATGTAGTAAGAAAGTTTTTCGTAACATTAGCGCCCGAGCTGTCAGGCGCAGGCAGGAGTATTATTTTATTAACGATTTGTGAGGAATGTTTATTAAATTCGCGCGCAGAGTACTTACTTTTACTGATAACTTAGATTATATTGCTTAGTTTGTTTCTAGCTTCCACGAGTCATCTCATAAATATTTACATACATACACACATATAAGGGTGGAGGTTCACAAACTATTTTTAAACTTGATACCTTAAATGATTATCGTCCCCTTAGAGCGGGCATACATTTTTTGGTGTGGCAGGAAACCTAACAGAAGAGGTGCAATTAAAGCACATCAAGAGACCGGCGGAAGGCGTGTGCCTATTCAGGGTTTATATGGAAGTACTTAAGTCCACTGGTGGTTTGGATGCTACTATGCATTTTTAAAAAAGACCAAGTCGTTCTGGACCAAATCGTCGTAGAAAGTGTCATTGCGTACGAAGTAAAATGCTCCGGTCGATAGTTGCAAGCTCTTTCTTGTTGCGTCTGCAGGAGTGCAACTGTCGATGGAGTAC